ATTTGATTACATAATATAATATTTATAAAAAAATTATACTTTATAAGCTTAATATACTTTACAGAGAGTGTAGAAAAATTGCAAGCCGATATTATCTCTGTGGATTCATCTGAAACAGGTTTGACATCTTTTACACACTTTTTGTGATTCAAACAATTTTTTAAAAAGCGATGCAAATATCCCTGCCTAAAAGATGGCACTTCAGGGGCCATCTGTTGAGACACTTGCTCGTGCCCAAGCTTACTTTTATGAAAACTCTCTATTATATCGCTGCAAATAATATTAAAATAAATTTATTTTAATTTTTAGGAGAATAAATTGAGACTGAATATGATAGACAACATATTATGATGTACCTTTTACAAATAATACAATATTCGTCAAAGTTTTCCTGAAGTTGAAGTACATCCAAATGTGGATCTTTAAGATCTGGTGTTGTATTAAAAACTTTCTTATAATTGTGACGATAAGAGCGATTAATCCGACGAATTCTTTCTAACACGTTGTTTAAGTTCCACTTGGGACTTCTAGGAAGGATAAATTCTGATGTGCCAATAAGCATTACATGACCACCTAGCGCCCTGTAGCTTATTGAGTATTCCCATTCTAATTTTAACATTTTGGTTTTAAAATCGTACGGCCGTAAATCCGCACAATATAGTCCTGATATTGTAATCCGCCAAACAGAGTTCAGATTTTTTTTATCCCATAATATAAACCATTGATCATCAGATTTTTGTGCCCAAATTCGTTCAACATTGTAGTATCCGCATTTTTTCGGTATAGTCACTCTGACAGGATAACAGGCTTCATAAAATTCGATATCTTTAATATAAAAATCATAATTAAAATCTTTTCTCAACAAAAATGTATCTTTAACAATATCTTATTTATCAATTCAAATATTACTTACTAATATAGTTCAACGGAAATTTGGCCATATACTTTGTTATAAAATCACTTAACCTCATAGGTGGTGTGTGCAATAGTTCGTAAGTTCTCTGTATTAAAGAATAAGAGAGATGCAACAAAATCTTGCATAAAGTTGGATTGCGATTTATACAGGACGATAACAGGTAATTATATAGCATTATACAGGAAGAAAATATACAATTTATGTTATATAGTAAATACGTACCTCTTTAAAATCCTCATATTCTGTAAATTTGATAGGTTTAATTTGTTCAATTAGCTTAGAGTTAACAAATCTGCTACTGTTCTTTCGAGTACAACAATTAGGCTTTGCAACTTGATAAATAAAGTCTACATGATCAGCCTCTTTTACGGATACTCTGTTTACATATGAATAATTTATATTATTTTTAAAATGTACAAGACAATGAGAATGGGATGTCATTTTCTTTGTCTGAAAAAAATAAAAAGCATGAAGAATTATTTTTATGCCTTTATGTATTATATACATTCACAAGGTATCCAGTAAATCGCCTGCAATACTTCGAAAGATAATTCTGGACTCAAAAAGAAAGAAAAAAGGTTATATAAATTTAAAGGTTATATAAATCCGGAAATAAGCATTTTCCAAATTATAACTACTTTTATGTTTAAAAAATTGTAATTAATTTTTTTTATTATAATCATAATAACAAACATAATTTATATTAAAGATCATAATTAATTATAATAATAATTCGTTTGTTCCCAAATTTTACGTGAAAACATAATTCGCTTGGCATCCTTTTTTAAATTTTTAATTTTTTTTTTTAATTCCTTGATATTTTTACATACATTATTTTTAGAATAAAGGATAAACATAAACAAATACTTAAATCGAATTAAATAAGATATTCAAATAGCCACCTTCAGCACGAATGCAGGCCATTATTCTTCCAACAAAAAAATTCCGAACTCTTTGAAAAATATTTAAATTCTGCTCAAATATTCTAATTAATATTTGATTAACCAAACTTGATTTAAATATCTGTTTATGTTTATTCTTCATTCTATACATAATGTAATCATATTTACAAATCCTGACAAATTTAAAAAAAATTAAAATTAAAAATTAAATAAATAAAAAAGAGAAATGCCAAGCGGACTATATCTCCACGTAATGAATCCTAAGAAAAAATAAATTATTATAACAAATTATGATTATTATTACAAATTATGATTGTTAATATAGTTACGATTGTGAAAAACAAATTACAATTATTTTTAACAAATAAGTGAGAATAACGCGAAAATAACTTATTTTCGGACCTGTGTTTATCGTATATTTATTATCATTTTTTCTCCAATTTGGGTCCCGAATCACTTCTCGAAGTATTGCAGACGACCCGATTTATTGGACACCCTGTATACTAAAGTGCCAATTTATAAAATCATATATCTAAACTAATGCTACTATGAAAAAATTATTTAATTTAATTTCGCTTGCTCACTTTCAACACCAATTTGAAAGTAATACTCTTATACGAACGCTGTTTGTTAACCGAAAAATATTGCTATCAAAATATTAAATAGAAGCAGCATTTAACAATATTTAACAATAATTCTTAAAATAATTATTTTTCTTTACTCTCTCGCAGAATTATGCTTTCATCAGATATTTCAATCAGGAAACGAAAAGACATTAAAATGGATAGAAATGAATTCATTTCGGCATTTCCGAATTTGCAATACAATTGGCAGTACATTGATAACTCAACCTTTTATTTAGATGTCTTTTCTGTCTTCGCGTTTGCTACATGTTCGCTATGCATATGTTTTTATGATAAAATGAGAATGATAAAAAAGTGTCAATTTTGGCCTTCAGAGCACATCTGAATAGACCTTGAAAAATCATTGTCCTCAAAAAGCAAGAAATAACAATCGTTTGTCCGAAAAGTGATAGGAGCTGTTGTGATAAGCAATTTGTCATTCTTCTATTTTAAATGAATAATGTATGGATTATTTTTCGTTTATTAAATAAATTGGCAGAACTACCTCTCGTCCTTTTTAAGTTTAGATATTTGTACTTTCGCTTTCTTGGATTTTCCTTTTGTTTTTTGTAATAAATTAACTAGAATTTTTTATTTGAATATTGATTATTTTATGCGATAGTAACTAAATCGATCCGGAAACATCCCAGAACGTAGGGACCAATTTCGATCAGTCTGTTGAAATATATCTGATCTAAGTGCAGCCAAAAGCTTTAAACTCTTAACAGGAACAAAAATGCTAAAATGGCTTAAATATAGCAAAAAATGACATTATTCATATATATACGGTTAATAAGTGGAAAATCATGATTTTAACTATAAGTATAAATACATATTCTTCATGTAAAAATCGCTGATTACTTTATAAAGCATTATCCAGGATACATCACGTGAAGATACAGTCCGCCTAGAATCCCTTAACAGAATCAGACCTCACAGTTCTCCTACTATATTTACTATATTTAGTAACTCCAAACCCTCTCTGCCATGTGCGAAGGCCTGCGTGCGTGTGTGCGTGTATGTATGAGCGCGTCCAAGTGTGAGCGAATCATCTGCATTTTCATCACAATTTGATGATACTAATGATTTTTTCTTTAAGTAACCCTGAAGGAATTAAGCGGTGATAGAAATGTTTTTTTTTGGAATCAACCAGTTTTACCGAAAAACTATATACGAATCTTGCAACGTAAGAACAATATCTTACAATACGTTGACCTACCTTGCACCCACATATATGTCCACTAACAGCATCGAGCAATCGAGCTTTGAATAATATATTCTGAGAATCTACTAGTATATTGAATACTTTGTACAGTCAATATACGGATTCTCTCTCAATTACAAATTTAAAATCTCTGATTCTTAATATTATCAGATCAAATCATTAGTATCATCAGATTATGATAAAAGTGAAATGTAAATTCGCTCACACTTTATCTGTGTGCCCGCGCGCGCGCGCTCACGCACCACACACACACGCGCGCGCACACACACACACACACACACACACAGATGGCAGAGAGGGTTTGAAGTCACTAAGGCTGCGTTTCGATATTCATTGCCAGTACTGAAAATCTATAGTGCATGTAACGTATATTATAGATTTTTAGTGCTTGCAATGACTATCGGAACGCAGCCTAATAAATATATCACAGGAGTGATGAACTGTATATAAGATATCCTGACCTCTGTCAAGGGATGCTAGACTGATGATTGTACCTCCACGTGGTGCATCTTGGTTAATGCTAAAGTAGCTAACATAAAGAATGTACATTTATGACTAAAATCATGATTTTCTACTTATTAACCATATAAGTGAATAATATCATTTTTTACTATATTTAATTAAGCCATTCTAGCAACGTTCCCATCACTTCTCGATTAAACGATTGTTAATTCTTGTATTTTAATTGTGAATCCAAACCATGATTTTTCAAGGTCTATTCATTGCTGCAGGGTATGCTTTGGAGCCAAAACCGACACTTTTTTAATATCCTCCTTCTATATATTCATTCATATGACACGTTCTTGTAGCATAATTAATAACTCTATTAAGAAACAAATTATTTACCTTGTTTTAATTACCATATATGTATATATATTTTGTGTGTGTGTGTATGTAATTCAACTTAAATACAAAATTTTTATAGACGAACAAAATGCAATGTGCTATTCACTTCGTTACAGCCACTGAAGAAATGGAACGATCGAGAATCTGAATAATGCTGGTTCTACATTCATCGCATCGCAGCGCCGCAATCGTTGCGATCTAGCTGTGATCCAATCAGTGTCGAGCTAGATTGACGTTGATTGGCTCGCAATGTTTGCGGTGCAACTAATGTTGAATCAGCTTTAAAACTTGTTACGTCTCTTATTGTAGACCCGGCCTTATTTTCCTTAAAGGTTCATCTACAATGAGAGTAGTAAGTCGTAAGACGTAAGAAATTGACCAATCAGTCGATTATTCATCTCACATGAGATGAATATAATCAATTGTAATTGATCAATTTTGATAATGATCTTTATTGATAATGAAAAGAAATTTTAAATAAAATATAAATAATCTCGAAGCTCGATCATATGTACTTACCACTGCGAGAACACGTTAAGATGCAATATAAATCTTTGAAACAATGGATTATAATATTGTCATAAAACAGTCCTACTTTATAAAGTTTATTGTCAAATTTAATTGTTTCGTTTAACTTGTACATCCGTTATATTAAAATCAAGTGTATACATATAAATAATAAAGTTAGCAGTGTAATAGCTCTATACGCAATACATGATCAGATTCTTGAGGTAAATTTTATCAAGATCGAGAAATATGCGTGATGTAGAAACTGTAGTGTTTAATTGTAAATTGAGACTTTCCTTCTGAAGTTTAACATACTGCTTAAATAATTATGACATAGAAAAATTTTATTCAAATGAAAGCATGAAATCTCTATAATGTAATCTGTAAGGTACTATACGAGTCGATTTTGAATTTAATGTAGTCCTGCTGCTGTAAGCTTTTCAATCTGAGAGCATGTATGTCGTATTGAAAATTGCAAAGTTTGACGGAATGCGCAGACTTGCTAAAATTTTTCTCGGGAATGCGGTTTACAGCGTGCGTCATAAAGTTTGAACCTTTCTCTTTAATTTGAAAAAATAATAAGTTGCTACGATTTTTTTACAAATTTAAAGCATTTTGTAACTCTTGAATTTTTCTCATGTACGATTATATTGGCATTTCCCGATATGCACCATAAGAAAATAAGGTTGGCAATCGGATTTTACACACAGTGTGTATGTGTGTATGTTTTACACACGTATGTACGCGCGCACTCAATGTGCAAAATCCGACCGCCAACTTCCCTATGGTGTACGTCAGGTAATGCCGACTGTACATGAGAAAATCACAAAGTTTGACGGAATGCTCGGACTTGCTTTCTTTTCTGGAGATGCCGTTTGAAGCGTCATAAAGCTCGAATCTTCCTCTTTAATTAAAAAAAAAACAAGTCGCTACAATTTTTTTACAAAGTTACGTATACAGCATTTTAACCCCTGTATCTTTCACATGTATACTCGGCATTACCCGAGGTGTACCATAGAGAGATTAGAGATCGGATTTTGAACATTGTGTGCGATCGGGCGTGTGTAAAATATACACAAATACGCACACGGTGTGCAAAATCCGATTGCCAACATGAGATAGACAACCCAATGCCATACGTGAGAAAAATACAAGAGCTACTTTAAAATACTAGAATTTTTGTAAAAAAACATCATAGCGACTTGTCTTTTTTTTCAAATTAAAGAGAAAGATTCAAATTTTATGACGCTGCAAACCGCATCCGAGAAAAATTTTTTATAAAACTTAAAATTATTAGAAAAGGCAATGGCATTAAATTTTTGCTGCATCTAATCGAATCAAATCTGAATCAAATTTTCCCAGATTTACATTACATATTAATTTAAACGTAATAAATACGAAAATTTATATTATTCATATTATTTTACACAATGATTTAAACAAATTGAAAACCTGTTTTCGATTTATATCTCGTTACAAAGGATCATGATCTTATATAACATTTTGAACTAGAAAATATGTAATTAATAATATGGGAATACACGAATAGTTAGAATGAATTTTCAAATATTTTATTAATCTATATGTATACATTACATACATCAAAAATATTTAATTATTTATTAGATAAGACTAATTGGTCGCGCGGTAGATATATGTATAAATGAAGCAAATAAAATAGGCGATCGATTCAAAATCAAACCATTGTCGATTCAAAATTCTTTGTATCTTACAGATTCGAAAACGAACTCGAATCAAATTAATACACTGTAATTCAGTTTGATTCGAATTCGATCTATTCGCACATCTCTATAGTCACACTTAATGCACGAAAGAAAAAAATGTTAACATTTATTTAAAAAATATTTTCATCTTTTTAATGATTTTATTGACCTGATTTATCACGGATATGTATCTATTAACATTGAGTAGTGATGAATCATTACAAAGTGACATTTTATGAAAATCTTGGAAAATCACTAAAATATTTTGATAATCCCTGAAATTTTATGGAAAAATTCTCTGAAAAACTCTACGTGTGCGAAATGACGAGCATTAACAGGAAAATTAATTTTCGTACTTACAGAGGAATTTTCAGAAAAATTAAAAGAAATTTTTTCACCAGAGATTCCAGTGTGAACAGAATTTATTCAAGTACAATGATACACAGTTACATTGAGTATTTCGTTCCACTGATCAACCAAGCTCTGACTTATATTTTCACAAAAGGTGAGATCGATCTCGATCAGTTTAGAACATTTCGTGAAAAATTGGGAACATATATCAGGTGTCACAGAATCCAAGCTCACCAAGTTTAAGTATTTTAAATTTTTACACAAAGCTAGTGTTTCCAAATCACGCTTGGTGATAAATTCAAATTTGCTCAAGTCGACTTTTTCCAGGCGTTGACAGGAAGAAAACAATCTATAGAGAACACCACCATTGTCACTAGAATCGATTATCTTGCAGCTGTAAACAAGAGCCAATACGATTATTGCATGCAAAAAAGATAAGCATATATAGATTTCAAAGAAGAATGCGATATATTTTAAAAGAAATATTTTCACGTACATACCTAGAAAAATTTATTTCTTTCAGATTCTTACAATCGGCAAGAGCATCGATCCCTTGCGATGTAAAAGAGCAATCCATTAAATTTAATCTTTCCAAATTGAAGCAATTTTTTAATTCTATAGCGACTGTATCTATGTTTAAACGCGTATTTGCTAAATTTAAGTTACGCATCTGTCGATTTTTCTGTAGTACATCACATAAAGTCTTAGTTTGTAATCTAGGTATACGTGCAAGTTGTAAACTTTCCAAAAACTGTAAATTTTTAAGGTGTAAAATACCTTCGTTACTTATGCAACCACAATAATTTAGATCCAATTCTAAAAAATATATGTATAACAGTATAATTATGTTTAATTTACCAGTGACCATAATAATCACAGAGTTATATATGTACGTACCTTTCAAATTTTTGCATATCTCTGAAATATCACGTAGGTTAGAATTAAAGACATAATCGCAGTGACTTAATCGTAGGTGTGTTAAATGTCTGCAGCAAGTTTTTATAAATTCCCTAAACTCCGGAGCAAAAAATTCGCAATATGCCAGATCCAATTGGAGTATACGTTTACACCTGGGTGCAAAGTAATCAAAGAACTGACAGATACTTGTATGCATATATGTTAGGTGTATATTCCGTAAGTTCAAACATTTGTACAGCAGAGGATCGCGTGATAAATTATTGAAGCGTTTATTGACTCTGCTCATGCGACTTAATGATGTCACATCTAAGTTTTTCAATATTTCCAGTATCACTTCATCCTGCAATGATAAAATATAATTTAGTTACATAATATAATATTTATTAAGAAAATTATACTTTTAAGCTTAAAATACTTTACAGAGAGCGTTGAAAAATTGCAAGCAGATATTATCTCTTTGGATTCATCTGAAGGAGGTTTGACATCTTTTACACACATTTTATAATTTAAACAATTTTTTAAAAAACGATGCAAATATCCTTGCCTAAAAGATGGCACTTCAGGGGCCATCTGTTGAGACACTTGCTCGTACCCAAGCTTACTCTCATGAAAACTCTCTATTGTATCGCTGCAAATAACATTGGAATATATTTTAATTTTTAGGAAAATAAAATAAAATCGAATACTGGTGGACTACATATTATGCTGTACCTTTTACAAATAATACAATATTTGTCAAAGTTCTTTTGAAGTTGAAGTACGTTCGAATGTGGGTCTTCACGATATGTGCGTATATGTTGCCACATGCTTCCTAACAAGTTACTTAAGTTCTCTTTAGGACATCTAGGAAGAATTAATTCTGATGTACCAATAAGCATTACAGCTATGTCCATACAGCTTCCTGAGTGATGCCAATATTCTAATTTAAGCACTTTGGTTTTAAAATCGCATGGCCATAAATTCGGGATCATATTGTATAGGTCTGGAATTGAAGTCATCTGAAAAGACCAATTCTTTTCATTCCACAATAGAAACCATTGATCATCAGATTTTTGTGCCCAAATTCGTTTAACATTTTTGTATATCTTTATCAGTATGGTCACTCTGATAGGATAACAGGCTTCATAAAATTCGATATCTTTAACATAGAAAACATAATTACAACCTATTCTCAATAAAAGTGTATCTTTAACAATATCTTATTTAAAATTCAAATATTATACTTACTAATATATTTTTGTTCACCCATATTCAGTGGTATAAGATTCATTGGTCTTGTAGGTGCAGATGTGTTGCCGTGCAATAGTCCGTAAGTTCTCTGTATTAAAAAGTAAGCCGAAAAATGCAACAAAATCTTGCATAAAGTTGGATTGCAATTTATACAAGACAATAATAGCAAATGATAGAAAAAAATACAATTTATGTCATAGTAAATATGTACCTCTTTAAAATCTTCATAATTTGTAAATTTGGTATATAATGGTTCAATTATCTTAGAGTTATCAAATGTGCTAAAATTACTGTTATTTTGAGTACAACAATTAGGCTTTGCAACTTGATAAATAAAGTCAACATGATCTGTTTCTTCTACGGATACTCTATTTACATATGAATATTTAACATTATCTTCAAAATATAAAGGATGAGAATGGGATGTCATTTTCTCTATCTGAAAAAAAAATGAAAAGTGTGGAAAATTATTTTTGTGCTTTTTTATGTATATAAGTATACATATAAACTAAAATGCCATATTTATAATATCATATACCATGTATCTAAAATAATTCTATTTTATATAAATAATTATTTAATTTGACTTTATTTTGCTCACTTTCAATACCGACTTGGAATACTTATATATGCAGAAGGATATATAACAAATGCTATTTGTTAGCAAATAATATTGCATTTAGTGTGATTAAAATATTAAATAAAAGCAGTGTTTAATAATACTTAACAATAATTCTTAAATTAATTCTCCTTCTTTGTTTTACCCCTCCCCCCCCCCTCCTGTGACATTATGCTCCCACCAGGTATTTTATATTTATAATAATCGCGTTGAAAAGACACAACGGTTGAGTGAATTCAGTAATTTTTGTCTGTAATTGAAATAGACCTTTAAATTCATGATAAATCTAGAAAAATATTTCAATGGCAATCGCTTACTCTACCGTCCGATCTCTGAACGCAACCAATGTGTACTATCAAAACCGTTGACAACACTGACCAGCAACTTATTGAACAGCTTATTCGACAAGAGACACAAATCGAATAAAAGATCGATGTATATTCGTAACTGACTCTTATCGGGACAACTGATCAATATATATACATAGGGAGCTTTCCAGATAAATCAACACAGGTATCATTCTGTCTTTGTTCAATATTTATTGTTAGTGAAAAATAAAAACAAAATGTGAAAAACAAATGACTCTGTGTCGATTTATCTGGAAAGCTCTCATATGGCTATGTTATTCTGATAAGAACTGATTATGAAATATATATATCGACCTTCATACCTCTTTCAATGTTCAATGTGCAATATCTAAGCGCAAATTCGAATAATTTGATAACTCAACTTTAAAATAACTTATATTTAGATCTCTTGTCCACGTTTGCTACGTGTTCGCCATGTACATTTTTGTGTAATAGTTGAATATGATCGAGGAGAATAATCGATTATGGTTTGTTAATTTTTATGTCTTTCGACTATTGTAGAATAGACTTAAGACGTTCTACAATACGTCGTATGTAGGATCGTAAACCGTAAAGCGTAAGCCGTAAAAATTGATCAATCACAATCGAATATAAGAAGAACATTCGATTGTGATTGATCAGTTTTTATGATTTTGGGTGCCTTTTTATACGCAGAACGCAGCAACAGTAAAATGTCACGTAATTCAAATTTTTCAAAACCGCTTCCGCCGCATTTGCTGCGCATGAAAAGGAATTTGCAGCAACATATTATTAAAATATTTAACCTTAATATA